AGTGGTATCATCTGCATATCTGAGGTTGTTAATATTTCTTCCAGCAATCTTAATTCCGGTTTGGGATTAGTCCAGTCCAGCCTTTCGTATGAGAAATATACATCAGTACAAATTACTTGGACGAAACTAACACATTTTTTTTGTACCTATACTGTGGTATAGACAGCTCAAGAAATCTACATAGAGACATGATCATCTTTTTAAAATAGATTACTGACTTTCTAATAGACATATCTCCAAGAATTTAGGATAGTCTAAATTTAAAATCTCTCCCCTAAGCAGGATAGCCTCAGTAAATATTAATGTTATGCAGATATCCTTTTCCCTCTAAAAATGTATCTATGAAAGCAGAGAAAATGGAATGGGTAGAAGGATATATTCTACATTTAGAGCAAGTTATGGCATATAGAAACAGTTAATTTATATGCATGGTAAGTTTTTACATTCATGTATTTATAGCTGTATGCATCATACTGTTAAATTTTTATCATGGGCCTTTTAGTAGAACATTGTAGTGTTTATCAAATAAAAATGAAGAAAAATAACAGTAAAACCTACAGGAAGATACCCATTATAAATAAGATACAACCGGCCATTGTAAGAGTCAACACCTTTGTATTCATGCTTGTTCCACAAGTTTTAATGAGAAAAATTAAGGATGTGTATGTGTAATAGAGGTGACAGAATGAAGCCAGTATACTAGAATTGTACTATACAGATTTAAATCAGTGTTTGTGCATCCATGCCCCCACAAGACTCTCTCTCTAACAGTGAGCAGATGAGAGATCAGTGGGGATTTGGTGAGTCAAGTCTTCCATAGTTTTCATTGATTCTAATTGGCCTACACTAGTTGTGGCGCTGCGGGTTAAACCACTGAAGCCTCTTTGCTGAAAGGTCAGAAGACCTGCAGTCGTAAGATCGAATCCACATGACGGAGTGAGCCCCCTTCGCTTGTCCCAGCTCCTGCCAACCTAGCGGTTCGAAAGCATGCAAAATGCAAAAATGCAAGTAGATAAATAGGTACTACCTCCGTGGGAAGGTAAACAGCATTCTGTGTCTAGTCACGCTGGCCACATGACCACGGAGGATTGTCTGTGGACAAATGCTAGCTCTATGGGTTGGAAATGGAGATGAGCACCGCCTCCTAGAGTCGGACACGACTGGACAAATTGTCAAGGGGAACCTTTACCTTTACCTTATGGCACAACTAGAGGAGGCCCATTTAAACCACTGGAATTTACAAAAGAATTGACTCACCAAATGCCCACTGATTCAGTATGCCAAGCAACAGGACTTCAGCCAGTAATTTTACAGTGGGTGAAACTAATTCTATTAACAGAGCTCTTCAAGTCTTACGGATGCAGCTGCTTCTTAATCTCCAATTTCTAAAGAGTTATTTCATCTTCTAGGAGTTGGCATTTTCTTAGTCAACACCAAGAGCAAAATAACTCCACTGATCTTTGCGTAGTGCACAAAACAAGCCTTAGGAAAGAAGTAGGGTAGTTGTATGTAGCTTCGTCACCCATGTGCACCTTTATATTGCAGGCTTAATGATACAGGAGAAAGAAGGATTAGAAAGAACATCGCTTTGCTGTGCTGCAGGATTAGCACACAATTTTCTATGCAGTATTGAGTAGCACCTTTTTGCACAGTCTTCGGATGTACCAGTTGTCGTTTAGTCAAGCTTTGCTTCAGTTGTTTTGTGAGCTCATGTTCAGTTAAAGCAGCTGCTTGACATTTTGCTGGTCTTGTACCAGTTGCAGTTTAGTCAAGCTTTGCTTCAGTAGTTTTGTGAGCTCATGTTCGGTTAAAGCAGCTGCTTGACATTTTGCTGGTGTCAACATTTTCCTGGAAAACAAACAAGACAATAACTAAGCTGAAAGCTAAAACCTATTTTTATGTCATTGTTGACGGGTCAAGAAAGATCTGTGTGCTGATTAAATAAAAATAAAACATGTAGCAATTTAATCTGCCAAGCTTTATTTCAAGGGAAGCAAAGATCTTCAGCCATTAGAGATATTTATATGCCTAACAGAATGAGGCATTCACTTCTGTTTGTTCTAAAACTAGTACGTTTACTGCTAAATACTGTTCATTTTCTATTGCACCTGAAATATATTTACTATAATCAAGCAGAATTAAATGCATGCGCTTTCAGTTCCAGTGATTTCAAGTGCAATGTGGTGAAATAATGAGGTCTGCAGAAAATGCAGAAAAGGTGATATGAATTTGCCCCAAAATGAGCAAAATTGGATTTTATTTCTCTACCAGTGAACAGCCTGTGCTAATGTCAGGTGCATCCCTTGTCTGGCATCATGTTGTTTATTTCACTGATCCCTCCTTGAGTCCTTGAAGAAACTTAGTGTAAGTACTTGTGCAACTTCAGTATACCAGCTTATGAACTATTACTTTCCAAATGCTGGCAAAAATGACACATAACTTGAGATTTCTACTGTAGGTTATCTGCAAACTAGAGCAAAACCTTTTGAAACACATAATGTTTTAATGCATGTGTTCCATGAGATTGGATAATAATGGCAACAGCTGACAAATGTGTTGGCTCTGGCCGCAGCAGAGAGTCGCACTAACTATTGAAGATGCTGGGACTATTTCTGCCACAACCACACTCTCAGCCACCATCATACAGCTGCCTGCTGGACAAGTTACCTTGCAAGACCAATTGCTGGATGGTAGTGACAGCTGACGTGATGGTGCTGCGGGCTAAGCCACAGAAGCCTGTGCTGCAGGGGCAGAAGACCAAGTAGTCGTAAGATCGAATCCACGTGACGGAGTGAGCTCCCATCGCTTGTCCCAGCTCCCACCAACCTAGTGGTTTGAAAGCATGCAAATGCAAGTAAATAAATAGGGACCACTTCGGTGGGAAGGTAACAGCGTTCCGTGTCTAAGTCGCACTGGCCATGTGACCACGGAAGATTGTCTTCGGACAAAACGCTGGCTCTACGGCTTGGAAATGGGGATGAGCACCGCCCCCTAGAGTCAAACACGACTGGACAAAAATTGTCAAGGGGAACCTTTACCTTTTAGTGACAGCTGAAGAGCACATTGGTGGCAGCTGTGGTGGTAGAGGATGTCCCCCCCCAGCCATTAAAAATGATGATGACACTGCTGCTGCTGCCATCATTGCCATCCCCATTGTGTTTTTGGCCACCACTGCCCATTTACTTCCTGGGCAAGCCTGGTTGACCACAGAGGAAGCCCTACTGTGATTGTAAATGGTGCACATTGGTCGTCATTTAAAATCCCAATAAGATTTGTGCCGTGTGCAGCAACAATATTTATTTATTTATTTAAACTATCTTTTTACTTAACTTTTCTCCTTAAAAGGACCCAAGGTAGCTTACATCATTAAAATACAATATGAAGGCTGACAACAGTGAGTGTAAAAATACTAAAAAGGATCAAATAAATGCCATACTAAAAACATAGGCAACACAAGAACACATTCAAAGCATTGAGGTACAACAATTCATTTTAAAACAAAAAACCAAGTTGGGCAGCCAGTAATCAACTTTTCTCCTTAAAAGGACCCAAGGTAGCTTACATCATTAAAATACAATATGAAGGCTGACAACAGTGAGTGTAAAAATACTAAAAAGGATCAAATAAATGCCATACTAAAAACATAGGCAACACAAGAACACATTCAAAGCATTGAGGTACAACAATTCATTTTAAAACAAAAAACCAAGTTGGGCAGCCAGTAACTGAGAGAAAGCTTGCCTGAAGAAAAAGGTCTTTGCCTGCTCATGGAAGGACAGCAAAGATGGGGATAGTGTAGCTTCCGGTGGGAACGAGTTCCAGAGTCAGGGAGCAGCAACAGAGAAAGCCCTCTCCTGTGAAGGTGGTGGGACTTTGAGAAGGGCTGCCGCTGATCTTAACAACGAAGCAGGCTCATAAATGGAGATGTGATCCTTGAGATAGCTTGGGCCCAAGCCAACAAAAGTCAGTTTGCAGTACCCCGGTTTTTCCCCAGATGTGTAGTTGCTGAAGTACTTCATTAAATCTGCAAAAATGTAAGCATGCTCAGTATTCAAAACAGATGGGAAATAAAAGGAATAATTGTATACAGCAAATGTTTTTAGTGGGCTATATATTTTTGTAATAATGTCCTTTTAAAAACAATATGATTAGTGTGCAAAAATCATCTAACAAAATTTGTTTAATAAACATGATATGCGCCATCGTTTATATGTCTGCTTCCCTTCTGAAGGTTCGGTAGCCACAGCATGCCGTGATGCCGGCGTCCCTATGAATGGAACTCGAAATGGAGATGGAAGAGAACCTGGAGACACCGTCATTTTTCAGTGTGACCCTGGCTATGAATTACAAGGAGATGAAAGAATAACCTGCATTCAGGTAGAAAATCGGTACTTCTGGCAGCCCAACCCACCAGTCTGTATAGGTATGCAGAAATCAAGCCAAGACACCACTGCTTTTCTGACTTTGAAAACATTATAATTACACAGTCACAGGTCCAAATGCCAATAGTATAGTTACTAAAGCTGAATTAGATCCTAGTGTTAGAATAACCAGAACCCCATCTGGGTGTTATGCACCCAATTCTGTTCAAGGCATGAGGGGAGCACCAAGCCCTGCTCCCTCCTTTGTCTTTGTTGTTGTTATTATGTGCTGTCAAGACACGTCTTACTCATGGTTGTTGTTATTATGTGCTGTCAAGGCACATCTTACCTATGTATGAGTGATCTCCAAAAGCTCCTGTCTTCTACTGCTCTCCTCAGCTCTTGAAAACTCAAGCCTGTGGTTCCTTTACGGAGTCAGTCCACGTCATATTTGGTCTTCCTCTTTCCTGCAGCTTTCCACCTTTCCTAGTATTATTGTCTTTTCCAGAGCACCCTCCCTTGCTCATACACGAAACAATGTGTCTGAAGAGGAGAGGTTCTCATTCATACAAATGCTCTTCCTGTGGCAAAAAGAACCCTGATTTTTTTTCTGTGGGATCTCCACATAAACATCAGTCTTTCCTGTGGTTGTTGTGGGTTTTTCGGGCTCTTTGGCTCTGAAGAGGAGAGGTTCTCATTCATACAAATGTTCTTCCTGTGGCAAAAAGAACCCTGTTTTTTTTTTCCTGTGGGATTTCCACATAAATATCAGTCTTTCCTCTTCAAAATCCCTTTGGCACTCTTTTCCACACCTGTTGAAGAGAACTGGGCGAGTAGTGCCAGTCTTTCCTCTTCAAAAATCCCTTTGGCATTCCTTTCCACACCTGTTGAAGAGAACTGGGCGAGTAGTGCCAGAAAGGGACTTTACTAAACCTCATTGTGGATGGCACTGGATCTTTTGAAAAGGTCAGAATTGTGGTCCAAAAAAAATAAAAAGGACCTCTCCTTGACAGCCTTGCACCAGAAGATTCAGTAGGTCACTAGAAAAATGTAGTTTTTAATCTTTAAGGTAATCAGATCTCAGTTACTGTGACTACTTTTTTTTTAAAAAAATGTAGCCACTCCTCAAGCAAACGTTTAACCTCTTCTTGACAGCCTTGCACCAGAAGATTCAGTAGGTCACTAGAAAAATGTAGTTTTTAATCTTTAAGGCAATCAGATCTCAGTTACTGTGACTACTTTTTTTTTTAAATGTAGCCACTCCTCAAGCAAACGTTTACCTAAATAAGAAGTACATTTTGTTTATGGAGACAGAAAGAAGGGACTGTTACTCTGGATGCATGTTAGACCAAATAGATGCGACTGCACCAACTAATTGGCAGTGCTTCTAGGGTGGAAAGCTGTGATACTATATTTCTTTAATAATAAGTGAATATAGTGGTGTGACCATTTCTTTCACCTTTTGACATTTGCTTCTTCAGACTTGTGAGGGAGTTGATTTATTGGATCATTGATTTTAGCAGAGCAAATAACCAAATGTTTTCAGAGCCTCTACATTTTCTTTCAAACTGGGGTTGTCAATCTTTGGTTGGTATCCAAAGTACATGTTTCTGTGGCTAAACAGCCTCTTACGTATTCCCAAATACTGTATAAATCCAAAAAGTTGGAAGTGACTTGGAAGATAGTCTCATGTGTTCCAAAGTCACATAAAATATTCCAGCTGGAAAGGAATGTCTTCAAAAAATTGGTGCGTGTGATAAAGTATTTTGGCTTCATGTTAAAGTCTCCTGAGAGGTCAGAGCAAATGTCCACTTATATTTTCACAGGCAAAAATATGGTTTTAAGGATGTTTATTCTTATTGCAAGACTTACCCTCCCTTCTAAAATATTTTCCTGAAGTCTGTTTCCATGTAGATCTTGAGCATTAAATTATTCTGTGCTAATTAAATACTGTAACACAGAGACTGATTTGCTAAAAGATTTTCTTTTAAACAGACCTCTGTTGAAATAATTTTAATGAAAAGTTGATCGATTTTTCATATTAGAATTTTTGTGAATCATATGTGCTGTGGCAATGCTTTTTGTTAATGTGTAGCATCAGTAGCTCAGATAGTTGTGAAATCAATAAAACCTTGGTCAGCTTTGGTTTCTCTGATGATCAGAATTGCTTTGACTTTTTTTTCCAAACAGTAACACCAACAACATAGAACAAATGTTTTAACAGAAATAGGATTTTTTTCAGGTTGTTCAGTGTATATAAATAAGTTAGTCATTAAATCAAAGAAACCTAGGTAGTCATATCTTATTCTGTCTATGAAAATTAAAATGTATGAGTGTTCATTCAATTGGTCTATCTTGAGTTCACAATTCAAAGTATTTTATTTGTCTTAATCTATGTGAGATCAGCATCTGTCAATAAAATCTGACATATGTATAGCTACCATTGGCAGCAACTGATGAGCATTAGAATATACAGTAGTTCACAATATAAATTGTGAACTATATTTCTGAAAATCTAAAGGAACTAGAGTACACACATGTCAGAGTATTATAATCCTGTTTCAACCTGATTGGTAAGGGCCAAACTTTGTGTGGTTTGACACCATTGAGACGTTCCCATTAAATATAAATAGTAATTCCAGTTATTCATGTCAGGAAAGTTGTGGGAGGTACTTACCTCCTCCACCTTCATGAGACACCACCCCACACAAACTTTTCCTGCTTCTTGTGCCTTTTCTTACATTCAGCATTTAATAGTGAGATATTGGGCCCAATAAAATCTATGGACTTGCCATGTCTTGTCATTGGAAGGAAGGAAGGAAGGAAGGAAGAAAGAAAGAAAGAAAGAAAGAAAGAAAGAAAGAAAGAAAGAAAGAAAGAAAGAGAAAATACACAGACCACCTCTGAGCAGCAGGAGGTGGGCAGAGAATTGCTTTCTTAAAAGCTGTTTGTGAAAATCCCTAGGTGTTGATTGGTATATTAAGAAAATTCTGACAATCTTTTAGTCCAACAGTAGGGACACTAAAGGAAAGTTTGGAAATTCATTAGAATGTAGGTACATATAAAAACATAGTTGAAGGCTGCATAGCAAGCTTGCCTCTTTTATAGCAGAACAACACAAACACATATAGAATATAGAATTGTGGAACAGCAGCATTAGTAGTAAGATCTCCTGGACTTTCATTCTGTGCATGTTTACCAGGGAGTAAATCCACAGTATATTTATATGCATGTGAGAGGAATTTTGGAAGTTGTGAAAGATGATTGATGACTTGCTGTTTCCATGTCTGTCTTACACCTGGTCATGCACGTAGCACACATACCCACCGTCTTATCCATTAGTCCCAATTAATTAACCAATCAGCTTCCATGATTCTTCCTGTGCAAGTGTAAATATCCAGTTGGATTTTGGGCCAGTGAGACTCTCTTTTTAATGGCCGTACATGGAATTGTGTTGACTGGGGCACAAACAAACCAGTAAATCTGATGAAGTAGTTTTTTCTATTTGTTTCTAAGTATTACCTGACTTGCTCTAGCCTGTTGATGCAAACTAAGAATCCACAGCTGGTATAGCTGATCCCTGTGCTATTCCTTGTTTAGCCAACACCTGACACAGTATACTGTACACAATCTAAATCCTGCCTGACAAACCCCAGATGATCTGTTCAAGACTGCAACCATGAATCCACCTTCTCATATTGTGCAAGAGAGATTCTGTTCAGGAAAATAAGGGGCAGGAGAGGAATGAAAATATTATGTGAGCACACCAAGGTTATTTGATCAGGACCTTTTGTCTTTTAGATTAGGTCTACAGCTAAATTATATATTCTTTAGTTTGCTAAAAATATCAGGAAAAAGGAATAACTTCTATGTTGTTCTTAGTGCAAAATATCTGATTCTGTTAACATCAATCTTAAGATTGGCTGCTATGCAGTTAAAAGTTTACAAATTTACTTGCAGTTTGCTTGTCATGTTCATGACATTTGTTCTATGAATTATTTGTTGTGTTTGTTTTATATAAACTTGATGGGGTCATAAATCAACAGTCTTTGTTCTTTTGTGTGTGCACACAGAAACACACTCAGTTTCTGTTGGGTTTTAGAGGAATGTGACTGGGTAGACTAGCTCAACTTTCACAAGAATTACCTAAACAAACTAGTATACAACACAAGAGGAAACTATCAGGCAAAATAGTCAAAACTACTTTTCCTATGTCTATGATTACACCTTAACATTCATCCACTAATTTTTTTAATCATATTTGGGAAAAGCTATAAATAACATCTGCAGTGCAGTAATTCTGATGCAATATTCACCTCAGGAGGGTTCCCTGAACAAAGAGAGGATGGATTTGGTGACATAATAGTAAAAGAGACCCACATTTTAACACCAAAGCAAGGAGTTTGGGAAGTGCTTCTGTTTCTATATAAGAGAATAATACTCCATGAATCATCTAAGATTATCCTCTAAAACAATGCACATGGACCGTGTTTTAGTGTGGACATTACAAGTGGGTGTAAAGAAGGTGAAAGAGGAGAATGCAAGATATGGTCTGAAGCTCAACATCAAAAAAACTAAGATCATGGCCATTGATCCCATCACCTTCTGACAAACAGAAGGGGAAGAGATGGAGGCAGTGACAGATTTTACTTTCTTGGGCTCCATGATCACTGCAGTCTTGAAATTAAAAGACACCTGCTTCTTGGGAGAAAAGCGATGACAAAACTCGACAGCATCTTAAAAAACAGTGTCATCACCTTGCCAACAAAAGTCCAAATAGTCAAAGCTATGGTTTTTCCTGTAGTGATATATCGAAGTGAGAGCTGGACCATAAAGAAAGCAGACCGCCGAAGAATTGATGCCTTTGAATTAAGAGGAGACGGGAACGACAGAGGATGAGATGGTTGGACAGTGTCATCGAAGCGACCAAGATGAATTTAACCCAACTCCGGGAGGCAGTGGAAGACAGGAGGGCCTGGCGTGCTCTAGTCCATGGAGTCATGAAGAGTCGGACATGACTAAATGACTAAACAACAACAACGTCAGGTTTAATTTGGCACCACATAACAACAACAGCAAGAACAACATTTCTGTGAGAGAAGAAAATTGCCAGAATCAGGATTGATCAAAGATTTCTGTGCTTAATTTGGGTGGTATATCCTTCTGTGCAGCTGGGTAAGAAAAGATTTTCAGTTTATAGGGAGACGTCAGGGAATAGAAAGAGACATAAGATGGAAAGAAAGGGAAAGAAATGTTCGTTGTGTAAGCAGTCTTCTGTTAATGCAATGCTGAATTTCACCCTAAGCATTCTTATTGTTGATTATATAAACAAATAAATATTTATGTTAGTCAGATTGAACGTGCTCCAGGAGATCCAGTTTATGTCAGAAATGTTAATATGACTGTACAACTAAAAGTAATGTTTAGTGTCTTGTTGATAAAGGCATAGTCTCAGCTTGCTAGCTGTTTTGACCTGGATCTCAGGACACTGTCACAATATAAACAGACAATGTGCATTGCCATTTCTATAACACAACACAATTTGCCTTGATTTGCCCTACTGCACCATCTTGCTTATACAATTGCCCATTATTAAATGCCAACCTTCATTTCACATATCTTAGGCAATGGAACTCTTAGAATAATAGTCCAGTAGAAAAACTATATCTGATTTGTGTTTAATTAAACAAAATTACATATATTGTGGTGGTGAATTGCCACTTATTAACATGATGCTGGATATGTTACTGTGCATGGGCTTGCACAGGAACACAACCATCAATTTGACAAGAAGTGGCAATTTGTTACTGAGGCTTAATCAACCTTGCTTACTTAAGTGTAAATTTGTAGTAACTCAAGCTGATAAACTATAGATTTGGAAAGGAACCCAAGGATGCAGCTCACAAGAATGTTTTTTAACATGTTTCTCCCTCCTTTTCTCAACCAATAGTGCATTCTTGTGTAGAACAACACATATATAGCATTAGATATTATCCATTCCTAGAAAATAAATTAGAATAATAGCAGGTTCATGAACACAGCTTGGAGATAATATTCCCCTCCCTTGCTTATAGCCTATTTATTTATTTATTTGTTGAAATAAATAATGATTAAAAATAATAATGAAATAGTGTGGGGATTCCCTTGTTAACATACATGTTTAATTCATTTACAGCACCTTGTGGAGGCAATTTGACAGGCTCATCTGGTTTTATTCTTTCACCAAACTTCCCTCATCCTTATCCCCATAGCATTTGTTGAAATAAATAAAAATAATAATGAAATAGTGTGGGGATTCCCTTGTTAACATACATGTTTAATTCATTTACAGCACCTTGTGGAGGCAATTTGACAGGCTCATCTGGTTTTATTCTTTCACCAAACTTCCCTCATCCTTATCCCCATAGCAGAGACTGTGACTGGACCATTACTGTTAATAATGATTATGTAATATCCTTAGCATTTATCAGGTAAGTGATTGCTTGGCTCATCATTTATCTAATCAATATATCATTGGCTTCTTAGAAGACTCACCACCAGGGAGAGTGGGTTGCTTTTTCTGCTCATCTGGCTTTTAGAGTCTCCAGTCTGTTCAGGATATCAGAGTAGTTCAGTAGAACCTTATTTAAATGTATTAGTTAATCATGAGATTCAAATATTTTTTATGCTACCTTGGATTATTAAAGTCTGCATCCATTTATGAGAGACATATCAGTATCCCAGAATAATAGGTTGGATAGCAACAACACTCTGCTTCTTAGTTTGTTTGTTTGTTTAATTTCTATTCCGTTTTTCTTCAGGGCAGCGTAGCAAATTCATGAAATAAAAATCTAGGCTTAATAGCTTTTAGCTTTTTTTAAAAAAAATCCTATCATTTTTAAAAATCCTATCATTTAGATTTATTAAAATACCAAATATTTATGAGCAGTCAGAAAGCAAGAATGTGTATCTCAGAACACAGACTGATTAATCTAGAGAACAGTATCTTATTTTGAAACTACAGATTAAACAAACATCAGATCTGTTTGTTTGTTTGTTTGTTTAATCAGATTTGTTGGGTGCCCTTTAGGATAAGAATCAAGAAAAAGAATAAAGCATAGCACACTGAAGCACAGAATGGTAATTAAAGTAGCTATTCTGAGCTATTGCAATGTTGAGGATGACTGTGATATGGATGGGCAGTGTGAAGTTGTCCAGATTTTACTGGGTTGTAGCTTGCAGTATCCACAGACAAATGACCAGTGGTGGGAGAGTTTACACACGTTTTTGGATATGTTGTCCAAAAACATGTGGAAGGCCACACATGACCCACATGAACCCAGACAAATAAAAAATATCAGTGTTGATGTGAAGCAAGCTTTTCTGAGAAAATATCACAAATACAGGGAGGTGGAACTGAGAAAGCACTTACTTTGTTTGCTAGCCAGTAAATTTTGGTGAAACACATTTGCCTGTGGCCGAAAGAGAAATTGGCGCCAGTTAGATGTGCCTATGCAGAAAGATCCATACTCAGATCATACGGGGTAGCAATGGTTAATTGCTTTCCATTCCCAGTGGGTGATTTTTAAGCAAGTTGTTAATAAATAAAATGGAATGATTTTTCACCTTTATGAATTAGTGAAATGACATAGGTACAACTATTAGCAGCACAGAACAGGATGACACACAAGTGTTATACATAAGGAACCTTTTAGGGGGAAAAGAGATAGAAACCTATAGCCTTCAGCACAGAACAGGATGACGCACAGGTGTTATACATAAGGGGGAAAAGAGATAGAAACCTATAGCCTAGGACTTGTGTAGTTTGAAACAGAGCCAAGAACGAAGTGCAGACTCCATTGATTGTGTGAGGTACTTGAACTAGCCCTGTACCCCTGATACCCACACACTATGGTTGCCTATTCAATTCTTCAAAAAACATCCAGTTTATGCATATAGTATATTTTGCTTCTGTACCCACTATTCAGAAAGCCAGGAAATGGCCCAATGTTATTGCACAATACCGTGCCCACATTGCCAGTAAGAAAAAGGATGTCAAGCTTTGTATAGCATTCACAAGAGCTTTGTTGCGCAGTGGTGAAACTGCTGTACTTCAGCCCAAACTGCTCATGACCCAGGGTTCAGTCCCAAGTAGCTGGCTCAAGGTTGACTCAACCCTCTATCCTTCCGAGGTCGGTAAAATGAGTACCCAGCTCACTTGGGGGCGGGATGTGTAGCCTGCATAATTAACTTGTAAACCACCCAGAGAGTGCTTGAAACACTATGGGGCAGTATATAAGCAGCATGCTTTGCTTTTTTTGCTATGCATAGCATTCACAAAAAGTGACACCACACAAAGGAAAATCCCAGAAGCTGATTCCTTTTTTCATTGGTTCTCCACTTCTCACTCAACTACAAAGCAATTGTCAGGGCTTTTTTTCAACAGGTGTGAATAGTAGTGTGCACAAGAGGATATCCTGTAGACCATCTTGACTGCTGCCATTGTTGTTGTAAATATTCAGGCTGTCTTTTGTTATGTACAGCATGATATCCTTTTTCCTGCTGGCAACACAGCCACACTTGTGGATTTTGGTTAAAGTATCCTGAGGATGGTTGAATTTCCAGTGTTTCATGATTAAGCACTTTTAAGAATTTCTAACAGGGTAACATTTGCAATCTGTACAGGGAAATCTGTTATTGACCCTGAAACTAAAATACCAGAGATTGGTTTTACAGCATTTATCGATGTATGCATGAGATTAAAGGGAAATGTCATAGACATATTAACAGTCTATTTTATAAGCCATATATTTGCATAACAACAAGACTTAGGTGAGCAATGCTGTCCTGGTTATTAAATGCTGTTTGTTCAAATTCTCTATCACAATTCAATGCTTGAAATGATGTCAGAGATTAAACAAAGCAGATCTATTGTCTATTATCTACTGTATTTTCTGCCTTATAACATGGACAGAATATTTATGAATGTAAGTGGAAACAAAAGGTTCAGGCAAATCAGAGGATTTGCAAAAACATGCACAGATTTTGATAATCTGTAAGAAAACATTTTATAAGATTATATTTGCATTTATTTATACGACCTATTATACTGTTCATTTTATCCAGCAATGAAAGTGTTGTGGAATAAGTAAGAACATGGCGATGAAATTTTCTCAAACCAATGAAAAACATCCTTGTACAAAGATTTATTAGTTAGCAGGCTTCATTACAGAGATGTTATTGCTTAAGGTAAATTCCAGCTAGCATTTAACTCTCTTTCTTCTTACATTTTGCAGCTTCAGTATAGAACCAAACTATGACTTCCTCTATATTTATGATGGGCCGGACAGCAATAGCCCACTCATTGGGAGCTTTCAAGATAGCAAGCTACCAGAGAGGATAGAGAGTAGTTCAAACTCGATGCACTTGGCTTTTCGAAGTGATGGATCTGTTAGTTTCACTGGTTTTCACTTGGAATACAAAGGTAAATTGATGTAACTATATTGTACACTTTACTTGCTTTAGACATGATTCTGTAGTGGTGTCCGCATCATATCAACTTAAGAAGGTATCTGCAGAGTGTTAAGGTTTTCATCCATTTTTTTTTCATTCAGTGTATCCTACTCTAAGCCATAATTTGTCCATAGTCTCTAATTGAAAATGATTGTTTGTCGCCTACCGTATAGAAGCTTGAAGGTCGACTGTTGGCCATCCATTCCCAAATTAAAGAGACGGACACAGGTATTGGATTTAACTAGGGCCACCTACCGTATAGAAGCTTGAAGGTCTTACTGTTGGCTACCCATTCCCAAAATAAAGAAACGGACACAGGTATTGGATTTAACTAGAGCCACTTTATTAACTATAAATTTATTACCCTCAACATGCAGAGGGGCCGAATGTATTTCAGATTCCTGGGGCAGGCTTCCAGGGTACCTCTTACCCCTTTCCTGACCCGTAAACGATGAAGTCCCATGCCCCAGTCTGAGCAGTCTCTGGACAGCTCATATCCAGCCAGCTAAAATTGAGAATCCCTTGCCAGCTGCCAGCCATCCAGACCTTCTTACCATTGACAGCCAGTGGCCAGAGCAGGCCCTATAGACACTCCTCACCACAGCAAGCAAATCTCAGAATCCAGGTGGCCACGATACTGTGCACAAAGTTCCCTGTGTGTATATAGGGAACTCACCATAGCTGACTCCACATTCTGCACTACTGAAGTGATGTATTTAAAGTGGCTCCACCCATTCAATCTGCCCAACATATCCCGTGAGTAACCAGTATGGGATAGACAAAAATTCACCTGCATACCTACTAAATGCTTGTCTGGTAATGCAAGCCAAAAATTCCCATCCAGGCCCAAAGCAACCCCATAAGCCAAACTGGACCTAGGACAGGCAGGTGGGTTGATATGTACAAAAAGAGGACTGACTGGGGGCAGATGAGCCCAAAATGAGGCTCAGCTAGACCCGCCTCTAGCCAGCTGCATGTGAGATGCCAATAGACATCTCTACCTGCCCTTCTCTCCACGGGAAGGGAAGGCAGAGATTCCCTGCTGGTGCAGGGGCTCACACTGCAGAGAGAGTGCAGTCTTTGTATTTTAAAAAGTAGTTTGCTTAATCCTTGTAATGGACTGGGGTCTCACATGTTTGAATGACCTTTCATACCAATCATCCTTACTAAATAAGAAGAAGTAATCCAAACGTGTGAAGTGCCGTAGGTTAGTCCCAAGTTGACATCTTCTCAGCAATGTGCTAAAGATATTTTTGGTGCCTTGGAATTAAATGGAGATGCATTCAGTGTGTGTGACCTGACAGTATACATAAGTAGAGTGTAGCCCATAAGGAACGTGTGACTGCAAAGGCTGCGTTTGTTCCCTCTGACACTTCCCTATCACCATGATGAAAAGAAATCTGTCCCCTTTTAACAATGAAAAAAATGTTGTAATTTAAATTAAAAATAAGCACAGAAAATTATTGGGGAAAAAATGAAGTAAAAATTACCAGTTCCCCCCCCCAAAAAAATTATAAAAATGTAATTTACCCTAACAAATATCAATAAAATAGCTCTACAAATTTGATGTGAAGGCTACATCTTATACTCAAAGTCCCTTCCCCAGAATTACTTCATTATACTGCTTCCAGTTTGGGAAACAACACGTCTGAGCTGTACCTAGCATTTTCGCTGCCCTGTTGGATTATAGCATGTGATTCTGGTATTCCCAGGGAAAAGACAAAGGAATTGGGAATACTGGCTGAGTCTTAGCACGTGATGGTGGCCATATTGCTTCTACACTGAGCCTGCCTGTTTTGTGGTCCCTTCTGTACCTGAGTTCGGACCCTCCTAGCAGCAAATCACGATGGACAATTGCATATCTTTTCAGCAAAAAGAATTATGTCCTTTACATTCCAGTGAACTGGGTCAAAGTAGGTGTCTTCCCACCCGATTTTTGGCTCCGAATATAGTATAGCCGTGGTTCCCAACCTTGGGTAACCCAGGTGTTCTCGGACTGCAATTCCCAGAAAACTTCACCACTAAAGGGTTTCTGGGAGTTCCAATTCAAGAGCATTTGGGTTACCCAAGATTGGGAACCACTGCAATAGAGAGAATGGGAAGGGAAACTTTAGCCCTCTCATCCCACTTTTGAAACATTGAAACCAGATTTCCAAATGTTTTTCTACCCCGAGTGAAAAAGAAATAAGGTACTTTTATTTGGAAGGCAGTGTAAAATGATTGTGTGATTTGAATTGGACAACCAGCATGGGTGGAAAAGACTTCAACACTGTCCGCTGTTCTGATAAGATTTAGAGCTCTTTACAATTGAATTTCATTAAAAGGGAGAGAACTCTTTGGAAAACCCTAACTACGCATTATGTAAAGTTGCATTGTGTCCTTTATAGCAAAGGGATCATCAATTTTCTTTAAACTCATATGGGAGGAATAATGTAAGAAAAGGGCATAATAATATAAAATCATCATGATAGAGAGAGAAATCGTCGTAACAAAAGTACATTTTCCCCCAATTGCAGCCAAACTACGTGAGTCCTGCTTTGATCCTGGGAATATAATGAATGGCACCAGGCTTGGAATGGATTATAAATTAGGGTCAACAGTCACATACTACTGCGATGCTGGTTATGTCCTTCAAGGGTATTCTACACTCACTTGTATTATGGGAGATGATGGAAGACCAGGATGGAACAGAGTTTTACCAAGCTGCCATGGTAAGTCTGGTGTGTTTATGTGCATGAAAGATATATATGCATTCTGATTTACATGGGGGATGGAGGGGGGAAGAATACAATGTTATATTTAAACAAAAAAGACTTGTGCATTGAAGGATCTTCCTAGTATTCTTTTTCTCCTTTGCTGCAGGGAAAAACATGTTGTTAGTATGTATTTCCATCCAGCCATTCCTGCACTGTGTAAAGATATACCTCCTCAAAATCAAGAAGGAAAAGAAGAGAGGGAGGGGGTAAAATAAATGCAGGTTCTACATGGAAAAGCTGTATGGAAATGGGACTGCTATAGCTTCTAGAGAATAAAGTTATGGAATGCTCTTTAATATATTTCTTTTTTTCTTGCAATACATATTGCTACTAATTGAGTACATGTAATCATCATCATCATCATCATCATCTTGGAACTGCAGAACTGAAAGGGACCCAACAGATCATTGAGTCCAGCCCCTGTCAAGGAGGCACAGTGGGGAATTCAACTCCTTGAATCTGGTTCTGCAGCCAAAGACCTACACCACTGAGATATGCAGCAGTTGGAGGGTTTCAATCTGTGGTTTTCTAGTACAGTGGGGTCTTGACTTGAATGCGCTTTTTCAATATATTTCTTTTTTCTTGCAATACATATTGCTACTAATTGAGTACATGTAATCATCATCATCATCATCTTGGAACTGCAGAACTGGAAGGGACCCAACAGATCATTGAGTCCAGCCCTCTGGCTCTGCAGCCAAAGACCTACACCACTGAGCTATGCAGCAGTTGGAGGGTTTCAATCTGTGGTTTTCTAGTAGTGCTGTTTCAAATCCCTACCCACCATTTTACCAATTCTTCACCACCCTGCAAAAGTCACCATTTTTTTGTTTTTCTGTTTTTTTCTGTTCAAACGTTTGCACAAAGAATGGAGAATTTTGGAGAAAGTTCTCATCAGGGAGATAAGAAATGCTCACTAAATCATTTGTACTTGTCAGTTTAAGCTTGTGCTACCCACGTGACTTTGCCCAAACTCCAGGAGGCAGTGGAAGACAGGAGGGCCTGCCATGTTCTGGTCCATGGGGTCACAAAGAGTCGGACACGACTTAACGACTTAACAACAAAATGACTAGATGAGACATCTTGATGAGCCTTGCAACTCCTTGCCTCCAGGCAAGAGTAAAGCTAGAAGCACTATTTATTTTTGTCAGTTTCTTTATAATTTGTGCAAACTGATTCTGCACAGAAGTAGGACTCTCTGCATGATCAAAATCACAACATTCTAGTGAACTGGAATTTTGTCCATATATTTCATGGATGAGATACAGTATATGGACAAAATTCAAGTTAAAAAATGAAATGCAGGAGATAGGTGAAGTTGACCATTTCCTACTATTTTTATCCCAGTTTTAGTCACTATTCTTTATATTTCTATTTTAAGCTAATGATCCTGGTGGAATACCATGATCTAAACCAATGTCACCATAAAACCTTTTTTTTCGTGGATTTCCACAAGCAACTCAACTTCTTACAGGTCTGTTCTATTGTAAACTCAGCACAGCCTCTCATAACTATAGTATTCTGCATTAAGAATGTGTTTTTCACATAGTAGAAGGGCCTAAATAAGTCAGCAGGTAAGAATATGCAATGTATAAGAAGAATTTAAAAATAAATCTTACTTTTTGGATCAGTGGTGATTTTAAAAAGGATGGTGGCATGTAGGTCTGGGCAAATTAGGGATGTAAAATAAGTCTGATTGGTATACATTCTTATTGGAAATATTAGTTTTGAACATTGTAAGACTTTTAATTGAGTGGAATGTCTCTTGCAAAGCTTGCTGCGTATGTATTCACGAAGGCTTTCACGGCCGGGATCTGATGGTTGTTGTGGGTCTTTCAAGCTCTTTGGCCGTGTTCTGAAGGTTGTTCTTCCTAATGTTTCGCCAGTGTCTGTGGCCGGCATCTTCAGTGAAGATGCTAGCCATAGAGACTGGTGAAACGTTAGGAAAGAGCCTGAAACCGGCAAAAGAGCCCGAAAAACCCACAAAAACCACTTGCTATGTATGTTGGGGGGGAGGGGAGGAAGCCATACAGTATGTTGAAAAACTGCACAATTACAAATGAAAACGTTTGAAAAAGGTGCACAAGAATAGAAAAGGTGTTCAAACTTAGGAAAAAAGTATACAGACTTGCATACCTTTTAAAAAATGAACTAAACTGTATGCATACATTTACATGGATGGAAAAGACTCATGGTATCCAGTATGAACGAGAATAAGAGTTCTGGTGGAACTCTGGGACAGTCGTCATGATACGGACCTGTTTTCATGACCCTAGCCAGTGTTCTTCATTCGCATATTTTTATGCAAATGTACCTAACCAGCCCTCTATTAAATAACTGAAACATTGCGCCTATAATTTTTATATCCTCTTAAAATTTCATTTTACATTGTGAATGCTGTCTTTTTAAAAAATTAAGCTAATGAAAGATGGAAGGAACTCTATATACTTTAACACTTTTTTTCAGTGCATCCCTGTGTTAGGTATTAGTTGCTTCTGGCTAATATCCTTACTTCAAATGTCCTTGAAGCCACTCTAATAAATGTGGGATGTGAACCAAGTCCACAATCTAATATGAGTGAATGCAGAGATTAACCAGTCTAATACACTAAACCATTTGGCATTTGATGAGAGCTGTTAAAAGCAGAATGTAATTAAGGTGTGCAGATTAAACTTTACATATGACAAAAGATAGCAGGTAATGATTTTTGTCAACTTCAGCAAATATGCTTCCTTCCCGTAGTATTACATAAGATTTACTTTTCATGTAACTACTATCTGTTGTTTACAAGTTAGCACCTCATTTCTCAGTATAGTGGAAAATTCCATTTCATGGTGAGAAAAAATTCTGATTGTAATTGTAATCATATTTAAATCTAAGAGGAAGAAGAAAAACTTTGTACGTTTCTTTTGGAAACTTATTCTAGGGTTTTTTGTTTTTTTGATTTTTTTGAGTGGGCTTAAGAAGAATTACTTATGCTCTCTCTCTCTCTCTCTCTCTCTCTCTCTATATATATATATACACACACACACACACACACACACACACACACACACACACACACACACACACACACACACA